ATTAACCCTAATATTACTAAAAGATTATTCCACAAACATTAACCCTAACATTACTAAAAGATTATTCCACAAACATTGACCCTAATATTACTGAAAGTTTATTCCACAAACATTAACCCTAATATTACTGAAAGATTATTCCACAAACATTAACCCTAATATTACTGGAAGATTATTCCACAAACATTAACCCTGATATTACTAAAAGATTATTCCACAAACATTAATCCTAATATTACTTAAAGATTATTCCACAAACATTAACCCTGATATTACTAAAAGATTATTACACAAACATTAATCCTAATATTACTGAAATATTATTACACAAACATTAACCTTAATATTACTAAAAGATTATTCCACAATCATTAACCCTAATATTACTAAAAGATTATTCTGCAAACAATAACCCTAATATTACTGAAAGATTATTCCACAAACATTAACCCTAATATTACTAAAATATTATTCCACAAACATTAACCCTAATATTACTGAAAGATTATTCCACAAACATTAACCCTATTATTACAGAAAGATTATTCCACAAACATTAACCCTAATATTACTAAAAGTTTATCCAGATTTACACCAAACCGGTTGTTTAGACAGTAACTGTAAACACTGACCCAAGTGTACAAAATAATCTTCAAATTTTAACTTACTAGGTGCAATGAATATTAATCCAAGAGCTAAGACTTTCTTTTCAACCTTACTCAAGACATAATCAGAATAACTAAAAATTACAGTTCTGAACATTGTCAAACTCAAGGGTAGACATTACAAGTTTTTATCTTGTACTTAGACAACACACATTTTTACCTGATACTTCAACAACACAAGTTTTTATCTCATACTTAGAAAATACAAGTGTTACCTCATACTAAGACAATACAAGTTGTCACCTCACTTTAAGGTAATACAAGTTTTTACCTCATCATCAGATTTGTTCTTCTCAACGTCTTCCTTGGTTTTCTTTAACTCTTCTTCTAATTCCGTCACCCTCTGCATGAGTCTTTCTTTTACAGAATCAAGGGATTTCACCTCCTCTTTTAAAATTTCTTGTTCTCTATGGTTTGATAGAGTGTTTGATAATTAAGTTTTATGCTCTATTCCCTGCAAGTGCCATAAAGTTTTCAAGGCTACTATTTCTATATACCCTTAATGTTAAATCAGTAAACTTGTATAAATAAACTGTTACAACAAATATTTCAAAATGGGGAGAGGATGATTAGTATTTTCTTCAGCTTGAAGATGGTTAG